CGCGCGCTCCGCCCGGCGTCTGGGACTCCAACTGGGATAGGTGCGCGCGGGGCCCGGGCCGCGCTGGGGCTTGGGCAGCCGGGTGTAGCGGGGCTCGGACGCCCTTGGCGGCGTTGAGTGCCGAGGGCCGGTCTTTCGGGGCGGTGCACACGCGTGCTTTCCAGGCGCTCTCCCGCGCAGCTTGTACGACGTCCCCCGATGGTTCTCCTTCGTGAGCTTGGGTACCAGCTTCAGCGAAAGGGGGCAGACCGGCTTACTTGCGCCTCGCCTTCCGGTTGTGGTTAGAGGTGGGCTCCGAGCCCTGCGCCGCAGCCCTCAACTCCGACCCGCGGCTTCTTGGTCCACGGAAGGGGGAGGACGGGTGCCCGTCTCATCGCGCTGTTTGGAGGAGCCAGTCCGGTGACGATGAGGAATCGCCATGTGGTGAACTTTAGTGCTGCACAGGGCGTGGGGGACTCTGGAGGCCTGTTCCCTGTCCCTTGTCCCCAACCTGATCTGCCAGTTGCTCAGATCTTTGCCTCCAAGTTGAGAGTTAGGTGGATGTCAGTACCCAAAGGGGAGCTCTGGCGGCTTAGCGTCCAAGGCATCTGACTGCTCACCAGAAAGCTGGCGGTTCAAACCCACCAGCCACTCCTCGGAAGGAAGGTTGGGCAATCTACTTCCGTAGTGATACCGCCTCGGAAACCTAAGGAGGGGTAGCTATGAGTCGGGTCTGACTCGATGGCAGTGAGTGTGTTTTCTTTTTGGGTAGTACCCAAAGAATGATGCATGCTAGAACGGTGGTCAGGACCTTAAAAGGGACTTTTGTTAGCTTTCCCGGAGTGGGCCTGAGTCTTGGGGAGGAACCCCATGCCCAGTGGGACCGTTGTGGTCCGTAGAGTTTTCAGTGACTGGTCTTGGGCAGTGGATTGTCAGGCCTTTCTGCCTAGCCCACCTTAGTCTGGAAGCTTGGCTCAAACCTGTTCCGGGTCATGGGAACACGCAAGCTTCCACTGACTGATAGATGCTGGCGGGTATGAAGTGCAGTGTCTGGGCATCAAACCCAGGTCTCCCATGTGGAAGGCAAGAATTCTACCTCTGAGCCACCAGTGACCCTGGAGGGGGCTCTTAGGAATAGATGGGAAACTGGCTCAGTACTAAGCACAAGGATATAACTAGCAGCTGGCAGGACCATGGCCACTGACAGCGCATTTAGTGAGCACTTGAAATGTGGCTCGTGTGATTAAGGAAAAGGATTAAAAATGTTTTTAAACTTTGTATTAAAAACCTACTCAGTACCAACCGGTTTTTTAATACTATGTGTTGAAATATTTTTTGGTATATTGGATCAAATAAAAGGTGTTACTGAATATTTTTATATTTTTAACATGGCTACCGGGAAATTTTGAATTACCTATCTTGCTTGCGTCAGTTCCAGTTGGACAGCACCTCTGAGGCAGGAAGGAGTCAGCCTGGAGGGGTTTGCCCAGGACTAACCCTCACTACCTTTGATACTTCATTCCTGAACAAGGGCCACAGAACCAGTGTTCATTGTTAGATAAGTTGTATCAGGAACTTTTTTGCTTTTTTTTTTTTTTTTTTAATAAACTTTATTTTAGAATAGCTGTAGATTTACAGAAAAATTATGATGTTAGTACAGGTAATTTTCATAGACCCCTCACCTACTTCCTCCTTCTATCCTCTTACACTAATAGAGTGTGTTTGTCACCAGTGATGAACCAGTGTGGCCATCCTGTTCCCTAGTTGAGTTTTCCCTGTATCAGTTAGGACTCTTGCTGTTCATTATCTGTTGTTCCTAATTACAACATAGGTTGTGCAAGGGTCTTGCCTGCCTGATTTTTTTGTACCACCTGGAACAGGCTTGCTCCTTGACTGTAGGATGGTTGTGTGGGGGTGTGCTCGAGGGGGCTGGAATCCCCTGGCCTGATGGCAGGGGCACCCCTAGGTGCTGGAGAATGGAGTGCGAGGGCCTGGCTCTTCCCCAGGCTCTCTTAAACTCTGGAAGGTTGCTGTTCCTAATTTGGAAATACTGTCTTGCCAAAAATGCTCAAAGGCGACTTAGGAACAGAGGTCCCAGGACATACCCATGTTCAATTTCAACGTTAGGCGAGAACCACTGTCTCTTGTCAACCTGCGGAAAAGGAACCTGGAGTCTGGAGAAGAAGAATTGGCGTCCAGGCTGGACCACTGCAAAGCGAAGGCCACACGGCACATCTTCCTCATCAGGCACTCCCAATACCACGTGGATGGCTCCTTGGACAAGGACCGAACTCTCACTCCTCTGGGTATGTGGGCCATGGCTTGGATGTACCTAACCTGTCTGGTCCACCTCTCCTCAGAGATACTCATGAGGTCCTGTGCTGCCTCAGATCTGTGTCAGGGACTGACTGTCCCTGACTCAAACACTGTAACTGTGAGTACAACTTAACTCAGATTCGGGAACCAAAAAACCAAACCCACTGCCATTGAGTCAGTTCTGACACATAGTGACCCCTGTTGGGTTTCCAAGGTGGTAAATCTTTACGGAAGTTGACTGCCCGTCTTCCTTCTGCGGAGTGGCTGGTGTGTTTGAACTGCCAACCTTGTGGTTAGCAGTCAGATGCCTTAGGCACTACACCACCAGAGCTCCTTTCTGGCCTGAGACAGGTCTCTAAAAATACCCTTAAGTTTAAAAAACTTAAAGTGTTACTTGCTAATGGACAGTTTCAGTGTGTATACAAGCTGAGGGGTTACGTACTCCCTCCTGAGCTTTGAGAACACGGCATATGCGTGCACACTGAAGTTTGGTTTTCTTATTTAATGTGAAGACCCCTCTCTTCAGTGGATACACACCTGTCTGTTTTAGTCCACATTGTAAACTATAGGACAAGACTGGTCTGCAGAGAACTTAACAGTCCCTGTTGGTAGGCTTGTTGGTTGTCCCCAGTATCTTGCTGCTGTGAGCTCTGTGCCCAGGTATCAATAGGAGACATCTCTAGAAAAAGAAATGCAGGATGGGTCTGAGATAGAGCTTAAACTTTTTTTTTTTTTTTTTGAGATATTACCCATTTGTGAGCATATTAAAAAACTCAGATAGGGCTTATCCTGTGACCCTGTTCTTTCCTCCCTAGGCATGACCTTGTTATAACTCCGTATATCCAAGATGGACTTTGAAACTGGGAATGTCATTGGAACATATGAGAGTGTCATTGCACCCAGTGGAAACCAGATGACAGGCCTTTTTTTTAGCTGTTGTTGTTATGTGCTGTCGAGTCGGCCCCTACTCATAGCGACCCCTCCTTGGGTTTCCGAGGCAGTATCACTATGGAAGTAGGATTGCCCAACCTTCCTTTCGAGGAGTGGCTGGTGGGTTTGAACCGCCAGCCTTCTCATTAGCAGTCAAGTGCTTTAGCCACTATGCTACCAGAGCTCTTTTTTTTTAGCTAGATTCTCAAAACGCATTTGAGAAACACCACTTGTATTTGTACTCAGTCTCTATTTGGTAACATGGAGATCTTAGGGTTTTTATGTATTAAAATCTATAATGACTGAATAGTTGGTGGCTCACAGGGGTGTTTGGACTCATTTGGAGACAGTCAAGTAAGAACAATATGAGTAAACAGAATCCTACCCACTGTACATAATTATCAACTTTGGTCACTGCTGTGGGCGGATTCAAACACTTCCTTAGCATGGTGGTTGAAGGAAAACCAGATGGTCTTGTTGATTCTGTTACAACAGCTTCCCCAGCAAGGCCACATGCCACGAGGGTGGGCAGTTGCCTGTCTTGTATCCCATTCCTAGACTGGTGGCTTACGTGTGTGTAAAACAAACACAGGAAGGAGTCCAGATACATGTGATTCTCAAGCGTATTTCCATTGCAAGGTCGCGAACAGGCTGAACTAACTGGCCTCCGACTAGCGAGCTTGGGGTTGAAGTTTGACAGAATTGTGCATTCCTCCATGACGCGAGCCAGAGAGACGACAGACATCATCAGCAAGCACCTGCCAGGTGAGTCCTCGCACATGTGCTTGTGCGGGGCTGGCAGCTGGAACCTCAGCTCTTATGTGTTAGGGTAAAGCTGAGCTTGGGAATGAAAAGTAGCCAAGCGGGCTCTTCCCAGAGGGGCCCGCTGTGCTCATCCTCTTGGCACAGAGGGGACTCGCTATGCTTCTCTGCAGGAGTGTGCAGAGTCAGCACAGACCTGCTCAGGGAAGGCGCCCCCATCGAGCCTGACCCGCCTGTGTCCCACTGGAAGCCAGAAGCTGTGGTAAAAGCCCACATCCAATGTGGGGGGCTTCTCCTTGCTCGGCCAGCAGGCCACACCCCCTCTGCCTTGGCCCTGGCCCTGGTGTCTGTCTGTTCCCTTGCCCGTTGTACCCCTGTCCCTGGAGCTCAGTGCCTTTCTGCCCAGCAGCTGCTGGAAGATTGACGTGCTGACCCCATTTCTGCTGTGCCCCAGGGGTGCCTGCATTGCCTCAGCTCCCACACTCACCCTTCCTCTGCCCCCAGCAGTATTACGAGGATGGGGCCCGAATCGAGGCTGCGTTTCGCAACTACATCCACCGGGCAGATGCCAAGCAGGAGGAAGACAGTTACGAGGTCTTCATATGCCATGCCAACGTCATCCGCTACATTGTGTGCAGGTGAGGGTGCTGGCCCCTTCCTCTGAGGTGGTGCCGCACCTGCTCTGGCTACCAGCGGCCCCAGGGCCCTTTCTCTTCTGTTTTGAAGTAACTGTGAACTTACAGAAAACTAACAAAAAAATCACAAAGTTCCCATGTGCCCCTCATCTAGGTCCCCCACCCGTAACACCTTATATATGCGGTATAGACGCTACTGAGCTGTGCCTGTTCCAGTATCACTGGGTCCCTTAATGCCTATGATGGGCCCAGGTCCCACGATGGGGATGGGCCTTGGCTGGATTTCTCATGAGCTGACACCTCTGGAGAGCCTAGTCACGTCACATCTATTGGGACATCTTTCAGCTTGGTTTTCTCGTGATTACACGTTTCTCACAGGGAGATACACAGGTGATCTACCTCCTCGGGGTGCAGTGTTCGGATCACCTGAGTAGCATTGTCTGTTGGGTTGCAGATTTTAAGACTGGGTTGAGCCCTGACTTCTCCAAACTTAGGCAGCTGGTGTGTGGTGGTGTTGGCCCTGGCCAGTGTCTGTTTACTCTTGGGCATTCTTTGGTCAGGAAGAGCCGCCCTTACCCCACGTTCATCCTGTTGTCTGTGTCAGCATGGACCCGTTCTACTTACGAGTGTTATCTTCGTCTCTAGGTCATGACTGCACTGTGTTATTTTGTTGCCCACATTGTTCCAACCACCTCTTCGCTCTGAGAATCCTTTTGCCTTGAAATGCAAGAACTTGACCCATGCTGCCCAGCCCCAAGACAGAGGCCTCCTCCCTTTGGGGTGGCTGTTAGCTCTGCTGAGCTTCTCCTGCACTGCAAACAGAGTGATGTGGTCATGCCTGCTTCTTCATGTGCTTTTTCTCAAGGGCTCTGCAGTTCCCACCTGAAGGCTGGCTCCGTCTTTCCCTCAACAATGGCAGCATCACACACCTGGTGATCCGACCCAACGGCAGGGTTGCACTAAGGACCCTTGGGGACACGGGTTTCATGCCTCCAGACAAGATCACCCGGTCCTGAGGACTGTGCCATGGGCACTCTGGGTGGTAGCTGCCAGACCATCCTGTCTTTGGCACAGCTGCTGCAAGCACGCAAGTTTCCTTCCTCCCGATACACAGGCTGCATTTCAGTTACATTTTCCTCGAAAGTGGCCAACAGAAACATCTGATGTGCTATGTTCAGGACTTGCCTCTGGCCTGAGATGAGCAGGAAACGTTACCACTGGAGAGCTGGACCCCAAGGGTTTCCCTCCCCATGATCTGAGAGGTACCCTAGGTGTGAGGTGGACCAACTTCCCAGGTAGGGATCAGACAAGGCCTGGCAGGTGTCCTCACAGGTGGCTGGTACACACTCCACACTGAACAGACTTTATCGTGACACCACCAGCCGTGGCCCACTCACCTTGTGAGATTCAAGGGGACAGCCAGAGGGTCAGTCCACACAGAATGGTGGCAGCCCATAGTCTCATACACGGCTCATTTCACCTCATGCTTCCATTTCATAAAACCTGTTAAGTCACTTGAAGATGTTTTTCTCACTTTGGTTCTTGCTTTGAAAGCCAGTTTCTCACTCCAAAGTGACAGATCCCCTGGGTGGGTGTGAACTTACCTGCATCTGTTAGAACCTAGGGGGTGTGAAGACTCGGGCACTGATTAGGGCACCTGGTAAGGAAGGCTTGCCAAGGTTGCCCGCTGCCACATTGGTCCTGTGGAAGCAGCTGTTGGGGGTGGCGCAACGGGGGTCACCAGCATTTTACACGGGCTTTTGGGTAGGTGCTGTTGAGTTGGCTCAACTCGTGGCGACCCTGTGCACAACCAACAAAACACTGCCCGGTCCACACTGGCTTAGTAACAGGAAAATCGTGTGGTAAGTGGCTTTTTAATATCCCAGACCAAAGGCTCAGCCTTGGTTACTTTCCCTCTGGTTGTTGCTACTCTTTTATGCTTATGGATTAATGTATTAAAAGTATTTGGACACGATGTGTCTACCCCAAATACTCAGTTAATTTGTAATTTCTATGAAGTGGTTATGGGTGTTTTCTGTATTCATGCAACTAACTGGAACATTTGATCCATTTGTCAACTTTGGAAATAATTACATAATAAAATTTTATTTTACTTTTCTTTGTTGCTTTTTGGCATAAATACCAATTGTGGACACTATAAAGAGAATGGGAAACCTGTAGAGCATGTGGTGGGGGGGGGTAGCCCGAAGCCTCGCTTGGGGGTCAGTAGTGGGAAGCTGCCCCAGTGTCCCTGTGCTGAATACCTGCTATAGGGAGGGCTCTCCATGTGAGACAGAAGGGTACATGTCTTCACAGCCCAGCCAGGATCAGGAAGCCAGAGGACCCCTGAGCAGTGCTTTTAATTGTACAGAAAGCGAGTGGATGTACATGCATTATCAACCTGACCCCTGAAAGATGCAAAGGTTTTGAGTACAACCAAAAATTGCTAGATTTGACCAACTGTTCATCTCACAAAAAAGACTTTCTTTCCCATATGTGAGTGTGCTTAAAAAATATGTGCCAGTGTAGCTGAAGCTAGAAATGGTTGTCATAGATGCTGTGTCTTTTACAAAGGGAAGCTTCTTGGCAACCCTGCATCCAGCAAGTCTATAGGTGCTGGTTTTCCAATGGTGTATGTTCACCGTCACATTGGTCATTCCCACAGTATTTCAAACTTTCTCATCATGCTATGGCACACTTAATATTCTACACTATCACGTAAACAACACTTACATGCACTGGGAAACCAAAAAACTCATGGGACTTGCTTTACTGAGGTGGACTACAACTGAGCCTGCACTACCTGAGGTAAGCCTGTACTTCTGAAGACTTTAGTAACAGATGTGTTCTGACCAAGCATGGACAGAAATTTTTCTGAAAGGTTAGAATGATTAACGTAATTTTTAGAACAATGTTTAAGTAGTTAAAAAAAAAAAAAAATAGCCCTTGGACTAGCATCTCACTGATTTTTCCTGTCTGCATAGCTTATACAAATAAGATGTAATCAAAGGTGGCCCAAGACACTGAAACAGGACCAGGAGTCTGAGAAATTAAGGCAAAAACTATGCTTGTCCCTCGATATTCCCCGGAGGTTGGTTCCAAGACCCCTCCAGTAAAAAAATCCACGGATGCTTGAGACCCTTGTATGAAAAGGCATAGTATTTGCACATGACCGGCGCACATCCTCCCATGCCCTGTAAATCCTCTTTAGGGGGTTTGTAACCATACAGTGTAAATGTGATGTAAACAGCCTCTCCACCCTAGTCAGCCTTTGAGGGAGGCTCTGATGTTACATACTTCTGAGGAGCCATTTTGGTGCACAGGTACCAAACCTATGGATACAGAGGGCCAACTGTATTTTAATTACCATCTGAGTATTTGTAATACCATATAGGCTTTTGTTTTATTGACTATGCAAAAGCATTCGACTGTGGATCATAACAAATTATGGGTAACATTGAGAAGAGTGGGAATTCCAGAACAGTTCATTGTGTTCATAAGGAACTTGTACATAGACCAGGAAGCTGTCATTTGAACAGGACAAAAAGACACTGCATGGTTTAAAACAAGAAGGGAGTGTGTCAGGGTTCTATTCTTTCACCATACGTACTCAATCTGTACGTTGAACAAATAATCCAAGAAGCTGGACTATGTGAAGAACATGGCATCAATACTGGAGTCAGAGTCATTAACAACTTGCAATATGCAGATGACACAATCTTGCTTGCTGTAAGTGAAGATGACTTGAAGCACTTATGGTGAAGATCAATGATCACAGATGTCTGCAGTATGGATTACACCTCAACATAAAGAAAATGAAAATCTTCACAACTGGACCAATAAGCAGCATCACGAGAAATGGAGAAAAGATTGAAGTTGTCAAAGATTTCATTTTAACTTGATTCCACAATCAGTATCAATGGAAGCAGCAGTCAAGAAATGAGATGCCTTATTACACTGGGTACATCTGCTACAAAAGACCTCTTTAAAGTGCTAAAGAGCAAAGAAGACTCTTTGAAAATTAAAGTGGGCCTGACCCACGCCATGGTATGTTCAGTTGCCCCATATGCACTCGAGAGGTGGACAATGAATAAGGAAGGCCGAAGAAGAGTTGATGTTTTTGAGTTGTTAGCGAAGAATACCGAAAATACCATGGATTGCCAGAAGAACTAAGAAATCTGTCCTGGAAGAAGTGCAGCCGGGATGCTCCTTGGAAGTGAGAATTGACCAGACTTTGTCTCACCTACTCGGTCATGTTGTCAGGAAGGGACCATTCCCTGGAGAAGGATACCATGCTTGGTGAAGAAAGAGAAAAAGGGCAAGGCCCTCAATGACATGGATTGACACAATGGCTGTAATAAGGGCCTCGGGCACAGCCAAGGATTGAGGCTGGCACAGGACTGGGCAGTGTTCCGTTCTGTTGCACACGGGGCCACCATGAGTCGGAGCCGACTCAACAGCACCTAACAACAACGTATTGGTCGGTGTAGTCAGATCATCTGTATCCAGATTTTGAGAACAAAGATGTCTTTTTAAAATGCCATTGGTTTTTAGAACATATTTGTCTGTCTTCTATTTTGACTGTCTCACAACAAATGAAAAAAAAAAAAAAAAGTGTGTAACCACCTTCTGAATCTTAAAATCTTGATCCAAGTGTTCGTGACATGTTTCCTGGCATGTGAGAGAAAGACACTTTGCACATACACTTTAATTAAGAATGTTTATAAAGGAAAAGGATCTCACGCCGATTCAATGTCACAGTATATTCTCAGAAAATAAATTCAGAAATAAAAAAAATGATTTACAAAAGGCACTGAAGTGAGCAAAAGCAGTGGTTCTGTTTATGCTTCTGAATCAATACTGAAAATGTTTACAAGAACAGTCTGTCCGAGCAGCCACTCTGTAACACCAGGCAGAAAGCTGGTCTACAGGCTGGTGGGGTGCCTGCTTTACACCACCAGGGAGAGGCAAGTCTGCAGACTAACGGGGTGTCTAGTAACAACAGGGAGAAGCCAGTCTGTGGGCAAACGGGGTGCTCACAGGTGTGCCCTGCTCTTTGAGCTCCTCATGTGACAGGCCTTCCAGAACATCACCCAGGAGAGAGGTTAGAATGGGGACTCAAACCAACCCAGGTAAACCTCTCTACTTTTATCTTCAGTTGATCCTCAGAATAAATTTAAAAAGCAGTGAACAATTTTATTAACAGGTGCCACATGGGCAACTGAATCAAGCAGACTGGGGGCTCATGTGCTGGTGGGGAATACAACCCCTTCTATTATTGCTGGAGACTCCGCCCGGCAATTTCTCAGTGGCTGGAAGATTTTTTCAGCATAACTAAAGGCTTATCTTCCAATCAACAGTTACTTGAAGGACTCTGAATGACCTGCACCATCAACACTGTTGCAAGTCTAAGTAAGATACACGCCAACCTTTCTACTTACTCCTCCCCATCCACTGTCTTGATAGTCTGACCAGGTGAGATCAGTGGGCCAACCAAAATGGGACTCTTCTATCACATCCAACAGCCCAGCATATCCTGGAGAGGCCTGCATCAGCCCCTCACCTCTGCTGCACTGGAAAGCTAGGACTGGCTAACCTGTCAGCCATCACCATAGCAGCATTTTCCAGGAAATTTGTATCTGAGTTCACTTTCAACTCCACCCAAAATTTCAGGACTCTAAACTGAATACAGAGAAACATTTTATTTTCTAAAATTCTCTCACCCTCCAAATGAGGCCAATAAATTAATCAGTACCATTTGTGTGTAACAGACCATCCTCAAATATGAAGAGTGCTTGATCTTACTACAGGGCTGCCAGCTCGGCCAAGTGCGCCATCCTACGGAGGTGGCTCCCGTGCGCAGGGGTGTACCGCCTGGGGCTGCCCATGCCAGGCAAGTACGGGGAGCCACTGGGCTTCCCTGGACTGCCAAGAGCAGGCCCACATCTTTCTGAGCTGCAGCTGTGAGCAGAACCAAGATCCAGCCGCTGAGACTTGAACTTCCCTTCCAACGCAGGGCTTGGCCAACTAGGGAAACCAAGAGAGAAGTGTTAGCACAGACTTACATGTTTGGAAGCAGAGGAAGGAGCCAGTGAGTAAGGAGAGGGGTGAGGGGCTTGGTGGGTGAGAGGCTGGGCATGTGAGGGGCAGTAGATGGGTGAGAGGTAGTCAGGTGAGGGGCTGAGGGCAGGTCAAGGATGGGGAGTGAGGGGCAGTGGTGTGAAGGGTGGATAGATGAGGTAGTCAGGTGAGGGGCTGGGGGAGTGGTGAAAGATGGGGGAATGCCTGGCAAGGGGGAGGGGCCTGCAGCTGAGGGGCCAGGGGGTAAGGGGCAACGGGGAGAAAGGTAGGGGGGGAGAAAGGTAGTCGGGTGAGGGGCTGGGGGGGTGAAAGATGGGAGAATGAAGGTCAGGGGGTGAGGGCCCAGGAGGTGAGGGGAAGTGAAGGGTGGGTGGGTCAGAGGTAGCTGGGGGAGCGGCTGGAGGATGGGGGCAGGTCAATGAAAGGTAGCAGAGTGGTGAAGGGCCAGGGCTGAGGAACAGGCAGGGAGCAGACAGAGCAGAGCAAAGCACTGAGGACCTGGAGCCCAAAACGGGCCATTCAGTCCCCAGCAGTGCTCTGTCACCATAAGTGTTCCCAACTCAGGTCTTGCCTCTCCACGGCTCCCCATAATAGCATGTAACCCCGCTGTCTAGCAGCAGTCTGTAGGGAACCTCTGCTCTGTCCACAAGCTCCACAAGGCAGGGCCCCACACGACCCCAGCTGTGAGGCTGCCCCACACTTGGCTGAGAGGTTCAGCCATGTGGGCAGTGAGACATTAGCCTGTCTTCTGGAGCTCGCCGGGCCCGCCCTACCTCTGTCTGTCGGAGGGCGAGTAGGCCAGTACAGCATCCCTCCACCGGAGGACAGCTGGGTACTGCTGAGGGTCAACATCCACACAATGTAGGGCGGCCAGCACATCCCGGTCCAGTTTCGATGGCTCTCTGCAGCGCATGATAGAAGGAACAAGAAAAAACAAACACCTAATTATAGGACAATGACTTCCAGGATGCTACTGCATCCCTTACTCGGGACACAAGCACACCCAGAGCAGGTGTCATTAGTGCGCAAGGTCCCAGGGTCCCCTGGTGGGGCCAAGACAGGCGTCAGGAGGGCCAGCTGGTCCAGGACGGGGGCGGGACTCAGAGCCAGGCCAGCAGACGTGGCTGTGGGTGTGGGCGGGACCAGCAGATGTGGTGCAGACGTGGCTGTGGGTGTGAGCAGGACGGCCTGGTCCCTCACCAGCAGGTTCAGTGAGACTTTAACCAAAGGCAGTCAGTACCAGTGATGGGTTTCACATGTCCCTCTGGGGACATCTACCTCCCCCCCATGAGGTAGATAAGCACATGCCTTGTCACCAGCAACAGAAAGCTGGCACAGCCTGTCTACGAGGCCCTGGAAGGAATATCCAGAAGCTAGAAAAAACCCCAATGGTAGTAGGAACTTCAGGTGTGAGTCAAAGTGTGGAAGAAAGGTAAGACTTAAGAAGGCCCAGTGAGCAGTACCCATGCACACATCCCAGCACACACACCTACCCAAGCAGGAAGGGCCTTGCAACCGGCTCCGCAGGTGCTGGAGAGGCTGGCACAGACCGCAGTTCAGGGTCACAGCCACGCAGGACCTGGTGCCTGGGACTGTCAGGATCCAGAGCGGCAGCAATCTCAGCTGGCACTTCATTTCCTGTCCTTAGCTGGTTATTCCCAAGTGGTTCTGCAGCAGAAGCAGGTTCTAACAAACCACTTCCCTCCGAGTCTCCTCTTGGAGCCAGAACACTCTTATCTTTCGTTTCTGTGTTATCTGGTGTCTTACAAAGCCTACTTGCCAGATTCTGCAGATTCAGTTTCTCAAACTCAACAGTTAAGCCGGAGACAGGGGACAAAAGGGAGCCCTCCCCAGCACGGGGCGTCAGCCTCTGTCCTCTTCGCAGCCTTGCCTGACTCCGAGGACTGCAGGGCCCGTTACTGCTGGCACACATGCCACTTGCGTCTGGGCTGTCTCTGAGCTGCGTGTCCTGTCCCACCAGAAGAATGTCATGTGCTGAGTCTCCAAAGGCCCCGGCCAGGGGCTGGCTCGCATTCCGAGCTGTATTTTGCCAGTTCTTAATTTCTTCCAAGTTCACGTCCTCATCTTCATCTAGAAATGCCCTCACGGAAATGGAGTTACTGCCCTTTTTATCACCGCCTGTGACCAACACAAAGAAGGTGAGTGTAACACTGTAACTGCACCCCTCAAGTACCATTTGCAAGTTCACGTGACTCAGGCAGCCAGCTACTCTTTAAGTGAAAACTGCCACTGTGCACCTTCCTGGAGAAAGGCATGTGATCAACGCACAGCAGGTTCTGCGACAGGACATAGGTGTTCCCCCGCTACAAGCCCAAGGAAAGGGATGTTCAGGCTGAGCGCACACTCCAGTGTGGGAGGAACCCATGGGGACACCCAGCCACCCTCAGTTCCACCTGCTGGAGTGAGGGCACCAATGAGTGATGCTCTGTAGGGTCCTGGATGAACTGCTGTCCCTTCCATCCCTTTGTGAGCAAGATACAGAAGGCAGGCCTGCTTCCAAGCAGCACTGACCAGGGAACTCCTGTCCATGGAATGTGCTCTGTGCTGTCCCAGACAGTGGCTTAGGAGCCCCTGAAATCTGGTTAGAAAGACTGAAGAGCTAACTTTACTTACAGTAACTGACTGCATCCAAATTAGCTCTACAGATGAAATCATTTTACAAAGTGAAATGACCTGTGTAAACTCTTCTGACTTCTAGCCCACAGCCTTCATACTGGGCCTGACACTCCTTTCTCATCTAGCTTACGACAGATGTTAACACATTGCAGAACTGAGTTTGTATGTTTAATATAAAACCCAAAAGCATGCTCCCATGCCAGCTGTCCCTAAGATGCCAAGGTGGGTTCAGCTCTCCGACCCACTAAGCACACCAGTCTCTGGTTCTGCACTGTACTCCTGGAGGCTTCTCTAGGCTTGCTGCTGCTTCCTGGGTGTCTCACCCCATTTCATTTTCTTCCCACCATTCCAGGGAGGCTATTTTCTAAAATAAATGCCTTCTGGGTAAGTGGGCTCCATTTGACCTTTTAAAAATGACAAATTTTAAATTCTGTTATCTATACAAATTTCTATTTTGGCAGCTTCAAACCTTGATTCTAAGGTTTTGTTAGCTACTGGTTCTGCTTTTATTACCTTTAGCTTGATGTTAAACAATTTCATTTGGGGAGTTTTCTGACGCTCACAAAGCCTGGTATACAAGGTGAAAGTGCAGTTTAATGATTCGAACTCAGCCCTGAGGTCTACTCCCTGCTGGCAGAGACCAGACACATCATCACTGGAATTTTAACGACAGCAGCCTATGGACACTTAAGGTGTGTTTCGTTCATTGTTAGTAACAAGAATAGTAACACTTCCCTTTCCTCTGAAGGAATTCTTGTCCTTTGCCCATCTTCCTTTTGGGGTATTTTTGTCTTTTTTTCTTACTCATCTTTAAGAATTGTTTCTATTTTCCTTCTAAAACATTGGTGTTGATGCTTGTATGAGTTACTTTGAAGTCTGATGCAGCTTTTTCCATTACGATCTTTCCATTTGCTGATTTATGCTTTAAAGTCCTCTGCACCCATGACACCTGCCACGCACACACCAGTGTCCTGGTCCCGATACCTGCCACGCACACACTAGTGTCCTGGTCTCAACACCTGCCACGTACACACCAGTATTCTGGTCCCCTGACACCTGCTACATACACACCAGTGTTCTGGTGTATGTATTCCTAGTCTTTTCTTTCTAGAAAATAGAGGAGTATTCAAATGTAAGGTATATTTAGAAAAAAACAAATAAGAACATTAGACAATCCAACTATTACAGATCCTCATCCAGTGGAATTCAGCTATTATAGGTGTTGCAGACCACAGCTTTACTGTTGATTTTAGGGAACATAAACTGAACTAGAAATTGCTTCTGGCAGCGCCACATTTTTCTCAAATACAGAGGAGATCACCTAGTCCAGCCAGAGCGTGAGAGCCCTCACCAGAGGTGGAGACCTGGTCGTAGAGAAGAGCTCCGTTTTCTCCCAGTTCTTGTTGGGTCTTTTTGCCCATTTCTTGCTGAGTGAGATACTCTTCCAGTTTCTGTAGGCCTTCCTGGGAAGACAGATCAACAAAACAGCCGAGGAATTCCCAGTATTCACCCCAGGGGTACCCCAGCTCATGTGCTAGTTCCCTGTAACAAACAAAACAAAATCCATCAGTTGTGAAAGCAGAAAAGGACTGACTACATGGAAAATAGCAACTTTATGCCAGAAATGCCCAGAGCCTCTTATTTCGTACAGATGGAAGGCTAGAATAACCACATTCTGCATTTCAGAGCTGAGCCGCCCCTCCACAAAGTCCTGTGAAGAGAGCAGGCGACACAGACCTCGGCCCAAGACAACCCTCCACAGACAGACAGACATGCTCTCCTGCAACCACTGTGCAGAGCTGCACAGCAGCAGAGGCCCGCTCTGGGCCTGGATGCACATGTTGAGAATAGCTTCTACAACATGCAGGGGAGTTTTGTTGATTTACATCCTCATTTAGCTTCAGGTCTAGAAGAAACACCTTCAGGGACTTTTTCTAGTTGTGAGTTTCTACCACACTCACCTCTTATGCCACTGCAATTCCCAGAATAAGCCTCCTTATTTCCCAGAAAACACCCACCCACACAGGACTTTGCACAGAAAGTTACAAAGATCCCCCTTTGCCAGATCGCTGGTGCAGAGTCAGGAGTACAACTTAGCATGTGCCATACAACTCAAGCATGCAAAGCCGGCAAGGAACTGGCCCTTAAAGAAAATGCTCTATAATCCTCCAGGGAACCACTCCCAGGACAGCTGTAATCAGGTGTCGACCAACCCCAGTAAGCACAGACCCCAGCGTAGAGCATCACGGTATCTCTCTCCAGTGTTCGCATTCAGCCTTTTAAGTACCTTCCCACTCTTTCCACGCCTCTTTCTGGGTCGGACTTCCTGACATTATGGAAGAAACCTGCTTTCTCCCTGGGTGGAGTTTTCCAGAGTTTACGGAACTCTTCCGCCTGTGAAGAAAACACAGAAACATGAGATCTGTGCCTTACTGTGCCAACAGCCCATGCTGCGGAGGTGACCTCGTCTCCCAGTCTTTGCCTTTTCCTCCTGGTCGCAGAACCCGGCGTGTGCAGCCTAGGAGCCACAGTGTCCATGCCACTGTGAGTGCAACCAAACCAAGGTGGATGGACTTCTGGGAAGGACCCTTTGCCCTTCCTGCAGCCTGGCAGGGGCTGTGGGGATCAGACCCCCATGTGAAAATAAACTTAAGAGTCTTATGTTTCTTGTAACTAAATCCAACACTAATCAATGCCATCTATTTTTGGAGACGCTACTGGAATTGACAGATGGCTATTCTAACTGCAAATCATGGATCAAGGGCTGTGGCTGCTTGGTTTTGACTCACAGGGCCCTTAGTACAAGAGGGAAACAAGCCTGCACGCACCATCCTCACAGTAACTGCCCACTGTCACAGCCACTGTGTCAGTCCATCTCAATGAGGGCCTTCCCCTTTTTTGCTGACCCTCCACTTTACCCAGCATGATCTTCTCCAGGGACTGGTTGGTCCCTTCTGACAACATGACCAAAGTATGAGAAACCAAGTCTGGCTATTCTCACTCCTAAGGAGCATTCTGGCTGTACTTCTTCCAAGACAGATTTGTTCATTCTTCTGGCAGTCCATGGCACATTCAAAATTCTTCACCAATACTACAATTCAAGTGCATTAATTCTGTGGTCTTCCTTATTCTGTGTTCAGCTCTCACCATGTATATGAGGCAAAAGAAAATATCATGGCTTATCAGGTGCACTTTAATCTTCAAAGTGACACCTTTGCTCTTCAACACTTTAAAGAGGTCTTTTGCAGATTTTCCCAGTGCAGTACATCACTTGATTGCTTTCTTCTTTTTTTTTTTAATTGTGATTTGAGTGAAGGTTTACAGAGCAAATTCACTTTCCATGCAGTGGTTCACATATACTTTGTCTCATGACATTGACCACAGTTTATCACAATGCAACAGCTCTCCTCCTACTTCCTCCCCATAGTTACCTCTTCCCTGTGTCCATCCCTCCATGCACTCCTGCCCCTGAAGCTATCTCCCTGTGGATAAGCAGCCCTTCTTTCTCCCATGATTGTTCTCTCCAAGGAGTGTATCTACTTGAGGTAAATGTTCAACTCATATGCCTGTCTTTTATTTGGCCAGA